GTGGCTGTAAATCGATGTTGCTTTAATACTCAATGCTGTAAAGCACCGCGCAGTACCCAAGGTACGAGGGCGGAATAATAGGAAGCTTCTGCAGGCTTTCAAAAACGAGCTTCTCTCTCTCTCTCTCTTTCACATCGTGTGTATACCACGGGACAATTTAATAACGGGATCCATGCGGGCTCGTGCTTAAAGTGTAACGGGTAGCCGCGGAAATTAATATTTTCCGCGAAGGCGATTATTGTTTAGCACGTTGTTTCCGAGTCCCGCGCGTCGAGCGTCGGAACTGCGAGAAAGAAATCCAACACTATACACGCCCGATAAGGAAATTTCAGTCAAACGTCAATTTCGTTCTACGTGCTATAACGGTCTTCGATGTATCGGATGTGTGTTTCAGGCGTTATCTAAATAGACAACACGAGAGATACGGCACGTAGCGTTCGCGGAAAGCAGCGTAGACGCGTGCGCCCGCAGAATTTACCACACGAATTCTTCGAATGACGCGGTCGACCGAGCTCTCTCTCTCTCTCTCTTTCTCTTCGCACACAATGACGCATTTAGATCCTACCTACTAAGCATATCCCGACGCTCGGCGATCCCCGACGATATGACGAATAGACCGCGCGGTCGCGAATTCTGGGTATCTTCGGAGCGGCCGGTTTGGTAGCGAGCCAACATTCGCCATTCATTAGGATCGCTCGCGGTGACATTGATGGTCTGACATATCGGACGTAATAATCGAGAAAAAAACTAATATTGGAATCGAGTCTGTCGCTCGACGTGAAATTGGATCCCTGTATGAAGATATATCGATTATATCTACTGAGCTTATCGTAAAAAAAATGGGACGATGTTGTCACAGCTGTTGTCACGGATATCACTGTTCCTCGCGACAAAGTGAAACAACGTGGCGACAAATCAATGCTCGGCCAGAAAAAGAAAAGCAGTTTCTGTATAAAAAAAAAGGTAAAAAGGTATAAAAAAACGGTTTGTACAAGTTCGATTGCTTTACGTCAGCGAAGCTGTTCACATTTCGTACCTGATTGCGACGCTATAGAGATTCTACAGTAGCAAAAACCAGCATGTTTTCAAACTTTGAAGGGGGAAAAAAAAGAAAAGAAGTGGCGATTGTAAGAAAATGCGACAAAAAAGTACGGACTTAATAACTCCAAAGGATTATTAGCTCTTGCCGTTACTCTGAACTCATGGAATTATCCGCGACGTCGCGAGAGAGAAAAAGAAAAAGAGAGAGAGGGAGAGAGAGAGAGGGAGAGAGAGAGAGAGAGAGAGGACAGAAAAGAGGCAGAGAGTTCAATAATCTAGCGGCGTGGATCTCGCTGCTGGCATTGAAGTCTCCAATGGCGACGCATTGCGATTTCTCGTCGCCCGCCCGCCCATATTTTCGACCGTGTGTTCACGTGTGGAAAATAGCATGCGAGGAGAGATGCACGTGTTACTTCGCACCACGCATAACTCGAGAGAGCGAGATCTGGCCTGCCTATCTCGCGCAGCGATTTAAAAAACGGAGCACGCCGTGACTTTCGTAATGGACGCCGTCACCGTTTGCGCAACGCGCACGTATTCACCACTCTTTCTTTTTTTTTATCTTTCTCTTTCCTCTCTCCCTTTCTTCTTTTAAAACCGTACCGAAGCAGCCGTACGGAGGAGCGATCCTTTTCGAGAAGCATTCTCGAAGAGGCAGTAAACGTCGGAGCTTACGCTTCGTACGATAGTCGCTGCGATCATCGCGGAAGCAGATTTATGATAATCAAGCGGCATCGGCCGCTCTCTCTCTCTCTCTCTCTCTCTCTCTCTTTCTTATTCGCTCGCAGCGTCCGCGCGCCAGCCGACAGCTTTCTTAAAACGAATTTCGATTTCCCAATAAGAAGCCAAGATTTACGGCCTCCCGTTTCGCCCGGGCACCTTTTTTGCGCCTTGTCACGTATCCCTCCCCCCTCCCACTGCGCCGTACGCCGCACCGGATCCTTTTTTTTCCCCGGCCTCGCGAAGGAGGTGCACGCTTTTTTACTGCCCCTTCGTACCGTCCCACGAGCAGAGGAGGACGGCCCTGACAGCGTCCCTCTCCTGTGCAAAATGGATTTTCGCACGTACCCGAGAGCTCGCTTCGCTCCCTGACTCACGCACCCGCTCGCTCGCCCGTTCGCTCGCTCGCGGGGCTTCGCAGCCTCGTAACCGGCTCGTAATACACGCGCGAACGTCAAAGTCAGGTAGACGACTTGGGACGGGATCTCGTATATAAGCGGAGAATAGAACACCCGGATTTCGCTGCGCCATCGGCAACCGACCTCGGCACGGTGTGGAACGGGAATGCTCCCGTTCCATTTAAGGTATAGCGATCGAAAAGCATGCGGTCAAAATAAAAATTATCCTGCCTCTCCTAAACGAGATCAAATGCAGACGTAACCATCGGCGGATCCGGTGATTTCGCAGCGCGAGTTAGTAGTCGCGAATCAAGGAGCGAGAAGCAAGAAAGCGTACGCGCGTCTCGCTCAACAATCAAAGCGTGTACGATCGAGATTTTTAGATCGTGACGTGATATAAGGCAAACAAGAGGCGGGAACGAGATTCAACGTTAAAAGCAACGGTCGGCCGTCAATCGGACGTCGTTAATTGCGATCGTTAATCGAAGCGCAGCCGCGAAGTCAGGAAGGAAAATCGGACGGCTTCTTTCCGCGTCGCAAAAATGGAGACGTTACCCGGAGCCTCGTTAAGCGATCGGCTTTGCGAGATGCGAAATACGAGTAGCACGAGCAAATCGGGAGGACATACATCTCTCGTCGTCGTGAGAGATGGAGGGAAAGGGGAGGGAGAGGGGCAAAAAGTCTCTCGCGAATTATGCGGGCCGCTTCACACCAGGCGAAAGAAATCATCGGGGGTAACGAGGTACCCGCGTATAAGGCCCGTGTTTCCTTATACAGCGAAAAGAAGAGAGAAAAAAAAGGAACGTTACGAGATTGCGGCGGTTAACCTTACTGCGTATATAGTTATGCAAGCAAGCGCGCAGGGGTCCAGGCTACGAAGTCGGTCACAATGTTGCATATGCACACGCGCGTAGGTACATACATACGTACGCGCGAATGCATTTGCGATTCGTTACACCTTTGCGCGCCGTCACTCTCGGTTTTAGACGAGTCGTGTGTTTGTGTGTGTATGCGTGTTCGGCTCTGTTCTTATCAATCAATTATCGCTAAAGAGGCTGCACGCCGTGAAAGATACGTCGCATTAGGGAAGGCATTAGCGATACCGGCGCGCGTCGCTCGAGCCAAGGTGGTATCCTTTAAGGAATCCGGGGATTAAGCGGGATTTGCTAAACGGCGACCTGCAAAATTCTTAACGTTTCGGAAATTCTCGCGGCTCCGGAATTCCTACGACGACGATGTTGCGCGCGCGCGAGAATCCGAAATATTCAACGGGTCCCGAGACCGTTCACGCGTGTAATACCATCGACGTCGAAATATCGGAATATATTCCTCGAACGTGGAAATTTTCAGTTTTACACAACTCCCAACTTTCGCGCTCCTTGCACAGGTCAGGAAACATTTTCGGAGCTCCAGAAAATATCCAACTTTTCGTACTCCGGAATTTTCAATATCGAGAAGTTCCCCACTTTCGGCAAAACAAAATTATCCCTCTTTCATCAATCGCGGGATTGGCTACCACTACCGTTACACACCGTAAACTTTCCTGCTCGATCTGCATCGAGCGTTCCGCGGCAACACGCTCGCGCGACCGCGGCATCGGCCACAATATTGCGCCTGCCATAATCCCGGCGCAGTTTCTGACACGTCGCTTCCGCCTCTCTTTTTCTCCGCGATCGCCTGCAATTTGGACGTCACGGGGAAACGCCAAACGGTCAGGGGGAGGGGGAGAGGGAGATCGGCCAATTCGCCGGCGCGGCGCATTAAAGTCGTATCGTACGTACACACACTGGCGTTGCTGCTGCAATTTTGGCAGACGCGATACCACGCCCGGCGCGATAAAAGCTTCGCCGGAAGTGGAGAGAGAAGGGGCGAGACTCAACGTGAAACGGGAGAGAAAGAGGATGGCTGTTATTCGAAACGAAGACGACGACGACGATGCCGGTTCCGCCGTGAGAAATCGATTCGACTGGCGAAACGCTCGCTTGTAAACACACCCCGGTGACTTTTAAACGTCTTGGCACGCGCACCAAACGCCGGTACGATTCTTCTCGCTCGTGCGACTCGTTAACGACAAAAGGAAAGACCGTGACGCGGAGGAAAAATGTTGGTTCCCTCCCCCGGGAAAAGACCTGTCGTGAGATCTAGAGAAATTTCGAAGCGCGATGCACGAGAGGCAGCCGCGAGTAAAATCGAATTTTGTCTAAATCCAACTTAGCACGAAGCGCCGTATTCTTTATGGAAATACAAGGATTATGAGACGAGACCCATATTTCTCCCCGCGTAGGTAACACTATCTGATCCCCTGCACATTTAGAATCGAGAACGAACGATCGCATTTCGAGCTAAATTCCTGATAGTCTTTAATAATTCATGCGAATGTATGCAGTTGGCCCGAGTGCATCTTTAAATTGCAATTTAAAAAGGGATTTAACCGCAGTACCCCATTTAAGAGGAATTTATATTTCATTTCACAAAATTTCCAAGACACTTTACAAAAATACGTCGTACAAAAAGTAATTTGTGAAACCACATTTTCGAAGAAACGTAGATCGCTCACACGGATAAATGAGACTTTTATAGTCCAAGTAGAATTTAATGACTAATTATTCTACCGAATTTAATTATTAGGTATATACTCCACACTCTCTTTGCGATCGATCGCACAGTCCTCGTCTCGCGTTTCTCACTTTTCAATTCGTGCGAAATTTTTACTTCGTCGTTCTCCTTTTCTCATTTTGTACCCGCACTCGGACATTATACGTGATCGATCCGCGGATCGCCGCCGCTCGTGACGCCGAGGGAGAACGATGAATCATAAAGTCGGAACGGCGCTGCACTTACATGGAATTGGTGGTGTTCCAGTACATGCTGATCGTCTTCGCGCAGTTGCTCACAGTCGACAGTAGTACCGTTTGCAGGCACACGAGGAACACCAGGGTCACGAAGGACGTGGAAACCATGGTAACAACGACGGCGTACGACGGACTGGCACCGTCACTTAGGCACGGTCGCCCGTACTCGGCCGACAACCACCACCGGCACCAATAACCACGGACCGCGAGGAGGCACAACAGCACCCGTTGCACTTTCGCCCGCGACCTCGTTGCAGCCGTCCACAACCACCTACTTCTTCCACCACTGTCGCACCTCCACCACATCCACACTCCACACTTTGGCCGGTATTCTTCCGCCCGCAAATCCCGACGTCGCGACGCTGGCCCCTCCTTGTCCCACCTACCTCGGGCGCGATCCTGCCGTCGCGATCACGCCGTCATCGCGCGGGGGTCCCAACGCGAATCCCCCCCGGAGTATCCTGGAGCGGGTCGAGTCTCGACGGAATTCCTCGACGGTCCGTTGACGCTCGAGAAAAAGGCGGCTCTCACCGCGGATTCGATTTGCCACTGAATTTGTCGCGTGTCACAAAATCGGAGCGATCACACACGATCCGCGTCACTCGGCGCGCCGTTGTCGATGGTGTCCGAAGTAGCGCCGGTCCCATGGAGCCAGCCCGTGTTTCTCACCTCGGGAGCGCGGCTCGCCAGGCGGTTCATTGGTTCGGTTTTCTCTCCGGGATCTTCCCCTCGGAGATGAGCGATGCGGTGCTAGTGGATCCCCCGTAAGCGGCCCGTCGCCCGACGCCACGAAGACGCGAGAACGGCGGCGAACTTGTCGCGCGAGCGGCGAAGCCTGCTACCCGTCGGCTCGCCGGCGTCGATCACACGATCCAGTCAGCGATTCTGCACGCGGCAGATTCGCATGGTCAGATCCGCGGTTTCCCTTCGATCGCGGGTCGACAAGAATGCGCGGAGCGTGCGCAAAATGAGTATTCCGTGACGGACTTTAGACTAGCGGACTTGTACACTTTTTAAGCGCACCGTCTCGTACCTCCACATATCTCCGTCGAGGGTTCGAGCGAGAGCGAGACGCGGAGGGGAACCGTCGATCGCAGGTGCTCGGATCGCGCGGCTCCAAGTAACACCAGGGTAAATCCTCACTTGCTGCACACACTGGAAAATCTCACGATACAATATCCCATTCGGGCACACAAGCACTATTATCGAGTATCCTCGCACTGGCGGCGGCGGCGGCGTCCGCGTCAGGAATCGCACTTCTCGAAGTCGAAGTCACACTCCCCCGACTATTCCCACGAAGAACACACCGGGACGAGATTCGAGCGGCGGAAATCCGTCCAATTACGATCGTATCGTGTCGAATCGCGCGCAACGAAAGACCACGGTACCGGCGCGTCCGCCGCGGTCCGAGCGCAAGTCAAGTTTGAAGTTAGAAATATGCACGCGCGAGCGGCCGAGGTAGAGCCAGACACACTCCGGCTCGGCTGGCGAACTGAACGTGTAACGATCACCGCGCTGCGTGGCGTCGCGGACGCGTCTGTCGGCCGACCGTTCGTTTCGCGTCGGCAGACTCGGCTGGTCGGCTGACGGTCGAGGGTGGAGGGGGATGCGGCCAAGCGCCGAACGCCGAGCGCCGGCGGGGCTGCACGGAGCCGCCCGAAGTCGCGCGTAGCCCTTTGCCTCCCGCAATTCCGACGATTTTCACAAGACGGTCGGCATTGCGCCGCATGCTCGCGAGACGTTGACTTAGAATCTCTCTCTCTCCCCCTCGACGCCACGTAGAGAAGTGCATTCGACTCGTTGCAGATCGGTCCAGGGACGAGACGTTGCGGTTACACAGTGACACACAGAAGAGTTTTCCTTATTCTTTATTGTAGACCATCTCCGACTCCACTGGGAGATGGCGCTAACGCAGTAAATTTTGTGAGTATATCGCATTTAAAATATGCGGAATGTGATGTTGAATATGCAATGGAACAATAATGCGATTAAAAATTTGAAAAATTTCAATTGAAAAAGTAGATTCTTGTTTTGAAAAACAATTTTTTGAAAAACAGAAGGAACAAACGCGGTTTGTAGTAATATACTCCCAACGCGTGTCGCATTTCCTTCTTCCCAGAAACGCTTGCAGAACGCCATTTTCGTTGTCTCTATTCCGATGCATTGACGTCGGCTCTTTTGTGATCCTCTCAAACGGCATAATACGAAAAACTCCACGGGGATTTTCGCGGGATCTCTCGCAAGACTCAAAGAGTCGCTTCAATATTTTTTTTCGGCTTTATTGCTTCATCCAGACACGCGACTGACACAAAGCAGATCAAACAAACTCCACCGTCACGCCGGCCGCTATTTCGGCTCCGGCGACTGCCGCGCGAGCTCAAACGTCGCTCCGGCCGACGATCTCCCTGGGGGGAGGGGAGAGGGGGAGGAGGTAAGGGAGAGGATGGAGAGAGATAGAGAACAGGGCAGTTTGACACTCATTAAGAAAAGCAACCACCGTGATGAATCCGCCCTGGCGCTCGACGGGGCTCGCGTAAAACTCAGCAGGAATTTAATTTCGGCGACGCGAGAGGCGCGGCGACGGGCGCCCGACGATCACGGCCGAGAGTTCGGGCACGCCGATATTACGTCGGCGTCCCTTTAAGCCTCATTACCGCCGTCCGAAAATTTCCGGCCTCCGGGATGTAATCGAGGCGAATGAGCCGCGAGCGAAGGGAAAGGGACGCGCACCAGCTCGCTTTTCTCGCGCGCGAGCTATGAATTAGCGCGCGCGTGTCGCGATGCGACGGGACGCGCTCCGCTTTCTCCCCCCCCCCCGTGGCACTAACCGGGCTTTTAAGAGCGAGAGTGCTTCCCTGACTTACGACTGTCGCTGGCTCGCGTTTCCTGTTACGATTTTCCGCCGATCTCCTCCTAATTCCGTCGCGTCTCCTTCTCGTTTCGCTTCCGAGACAGACGCCGCCCCGGAATGGTACCCACGGCTAAATCCTGCTAAGTCTAAACGTGAGATTATCAGGGGGATGCCGGTGTTCCCTGATAAATCTGAAGTCACCTTCTGCTCGACAAACATTTAAAAAGAGATCCCAGCGTCGTTTACGTATCAGTATGAAATATCTCAGCTAATTTGAGGAAAAAGCTAGAAATAAATTTTGAAAAGGTCGGAACAATTTTCCATTTTTCTGTTCTCTCTTCTTATTTAAGATGACTATGCGATTTATTTTTAATTGTTTTAAAATTATAATATTGATCCTTTCTTGTAAAAATTTAAAGTTCAGATAGACACAAGATAGACCGACCTAATGTCCTGACAAGAGCTCGCATTCTCCTTTCCTTTAAAGACCAATGATTTCCAGAGGAAAATTAGATTCACTGCCCTTCGATACCTGACTCACGACTTCTTCGCGCGTGCATACGAATGGTGCATCTGCGGATGCACTCGAGTACGTGGCGCCCTCAACGCGGAGAGGCATCGGGCGATCATCGTCCTCCGTATTGCTCTCTCATGTGCAACGATCTCCGGGGCATGCCTCCTCCCGGGGATCGGGGGAGAACCGGTATCTACCACGGCCCACGGACAGTCATGTCGGTCATTAGTCCGACTAATGTAATGCTTCAAATTCTATCGGAGGCCTCACGGCGCCGGGACGTTGCGTCCGTCCTCCCACTAAAGCGTCGAATCGTTAATACGGCACGATAGGAAACGAGGCCTGTTTTGCATTTTGTATATACGCTTCCCTCCCGTCCCTCCCCCTCCACCTCTTCCTTCTGTCCTTTCCTTTCTGTTTTGTAATTAACATGGTCATCGCCGAAACTTGGAGATAAGGAATGGTCCTCGTTAAGCCTCAGGATCGACCGGCCTCCCACAGATTAATTTTCGCCGGTGCGAATGACAGCGATTTAGCAAACGAGAGCGGCACGCACACGCAATATTGCGACATGACATTTCATTGGTTTATCGCGAAACGCTTAACAGGGATTAGATAGAGCGCGGATTACTCTCACGCATTGCGGGTTTCCTCGAAAATTGCAGTTGCGTTTATATACCCTTCATACGTACACCGCCGGCTGATTCACATTAACATTTGCGCTTGTTAATTGAATAAATGACTACCATTAGGCCACTCGCTCGTTGTATAAATAATAGCGCGCTCTCTCAGTTGAAATAATAGCGGCAGCAAACCGTGATAATTCGAGGAATAGAAACAAAACGGATACAGTGAGCGATTATTCGTCGAAGCGTTGATTTTTCTCACCGGCCACGGGCGATTAAACAGGCGCGTTTATACTTGTAAAGCTTCAATCTGCCATTTGAATCTAGTTTATGTATCCCCACGATATATCTTTATAACGTTCCCCAAGGAGATTCAAATGTGAAAAAATTTACAAACCGATGTTATCTCAAATTTGTACTGAAATTTATTTAAGCCTGCCGTCTGTACGACAGACGTACCGGACATGATGTGCAATGTGTTTCCTACGTAACGACGAAAGAGAAACTAATAAAGGGAAGCAAAAGCGAGGTAAATAAAAAAGAGCAAGCTTTAGGGCCGGCTTTAATAAAGTCGAGTCACGCTTCGTACAGGGAGATCTTTAAATCGTCCTCAAACAAACCCGGCCCGGTCCTTGATCGTTGACCCGCGATCCGTTTGTTACACATCTTGCCTGCACTCTCGCTGTCTCTCTTTCCTTTTCATATATATATCTCTTTCTCTTTCTTTGTCCCGTGTCGGCTTCTCGCTTTCCCCAGTCCGCGCGTCTCTCTTTCTCCGTACCTACCGTGTGCAAAGCAGCATCGCATGAGAGCACGGCACAATAGAGGTATTAAATGGATGTAAGGTAGTGGGTAAAGGCGGGTAGTGAGTAAAGCTGACCAGAAACGTATATACGTACGAGTGTCTCGGAGCAGCGCATCACGAAAATGAAAGTGCTTCGCAAATATTGGTCGCCGCGTCGACCTTACCGTCGGTCCCCGCCGTCGAGGAGCCCGCGAGAAAAGGAAGACGCCCGGGGAAAAAGCCAAATCCTGTGTACATATTATCGATTCGAGCACTTTTCAGAGAGAGAGAGAAAGAGCTTCCTTCCCTCTCTCGCAGCTCTCATTCGATCGTTCGAGCGAGAAACCGCAGGCGCGCATTCCGGAAGACAGGTGCGATTCTTTGGGAAACGGCACGTCGCTTCGGAAAAGTTATGACGAGCGGTTACCTGAATACCTGATCCGGGCAGGCATCCAACGCGAGCTCGGCATCTATCAGACTGTCATAATAAGTTTGTACCGTTGTCGGTTAGTCGTTTCGTATACCCTAGCTAATGAAAAGTCATTTTACAATCATCATTTTAGAATTATGGATATTACGGGTAAAACCCTTCGAATCTTATTACGAATAGCTGCGGTGCCTCTCTCAGGGAAGTTTTTCTCCTTTCTCCTCGAGAACCTATTAATCGTCAGATTGTCCGAAAACGAGCGCACGAACGTCTGAGACAGGGGCAGGTGCAGGATTGTCCGAGCGCTCCGGATTTGTCGGAAACTCGCGGGAAGAATGGCGTGTCTTGAATTTGTGCCCGCTCGGGCGAGAACGATCACGCGTGAAAGAGATAGGGATGAGTCACGCTCCGGGGAAGCAGCTCGCGATGATTACAGGAAACTTACTGTCGCAATCATATTGAAGCACGTGTAAAAGTGACGATCGGAGAACACTTCTGACGTAATGGACTAATCCCCGGCAGATACCTCGCGCAGATAACAGTTTCTTTCGTAACGCCTGTGTAGAAACCGTTGTTACGACTTGACCGTAGATGCAGACTCGCAGAGATTATTATCCCACTCGCTGATAGGTCGCTGATCCTATACGAAACGATCCGCTAGCGCGCGGAACGGATTATCATATGTTAATAAGTCCCGGGAACCGAAAGCCCGGCTACGCCTAATTTGCGAGGTAATCGCGATCTTTACTCGCACAATACGAAATTCTCAACGGCCATCGATCATCATTATTTATCGCCGTTCGCCAAATTCATACCGCGTCGTACACTCACGCCGCTCCTCCGAGAGGAACGCACGCGCGCACGTGTGAGTTGGCGAGTGCGTATTACACGCACTCTCACGCCGACCGACGGCGGCCAATCCATTTCGCTTCATTACGGCGTTCCTCTCGCGCGGATCCGAGGCTCCTCTTCCTGACCCTGCCTTGAACTATGATTGGACACGTTACATCGATCCTCGTCGATCCTGATTCGAGGCGTCCCGAAGCGCGGCGGGGTAAACGCTTCGCCGGACCTCTTCTCACCTTCGTCAATCGCGCTGACGATATCGCCTCGTATCGGCCTGTGGCCTTTCCGCGAGCAAAATAGAAAGATACGAGAGGGGATGAGACGAGGCGAGATGCGTCTCGGTCGGTCGGTTGG